ACAGGCTAGCACTGCACTTCGGAGCGTTTGCTCCATGGGATGAGATGAACGTGGCGACGAAGACACGCTACGGAACGTAAGGAAGGGGATCCGATTGCGATCATCTACATTCCCAGTGCAACCCTCGCGCGGTATGGAGCTGGAGTCGCGGCTAATGGGACTTTCATGGTCTTTGACGTGATCCCGTTCTATGAGGTCAAGTCCATTTGGATTGGCAAAAGCAACGGAGGGAAGCGCCTGGAGTACGCTGACATCAAGAGGGCGTACTCGAAGTGTGTGGAGAACGAGATCTGCCCTGGCTTCGTCAACTCATCCCAAGAGTCGGCTGCGATGTTCCTCCAGAACGTCGCAAAGATCAGCGAGAGGATGCCGGAGACTGAGACAGGTGCCGATAATCTGCACTACATCGTTGACATGGTTAATCGTGCCTGCGAACTCTATCGAAACAACAAGATGGAAGAGTTCAACGCACAGGTCAACGAGGTCCGGGACGAAATCAGCAAAGTTGTCATCCTGAATGATGAGACATGGGAAGGACTGAGGTGCCGGATATGTCCATCATGTGCGACCGCGATCCCCACCTGCTTCTGCTTATGCCTGGAGTGCGAGGCACAACTGATCTCCATCGGAAGATACTACATCCACATCAACTCCGATGACGAGGAGGAAAACCAAAACCCCAACGTCTCTGGAGATGCCAGGCGTGCACAGGAAGAAGCTAACCACGATGCGGCAGCACAGGAGGATGAAGACGAAGCGGAGGAAGTTCCGGGAGAAGATGACGACATGGACACGCAAGGATATACATCCGGCTATGCGTCAGAAGAAGAAGACAGCGGTTGGCATTACCGCGACACTGATCTGGCGTCACGGGACATTATAAGTTCCCAACGGATGGCGATCTGCCTTGACGAGCCGCGTGAGGCTCAGTACATGGCAGGATTTATCGCACTCCAGCTGTCCAAGATGTGGGGGATGTTTGAAGGTGGTGAGGAGAGAACGATGAATGCCGGACTCGAAGGGAGGCCGGGCTGCCCTTACCACAATGACTTCAAGAGGTACCCCAACATCACCGATCAGGATCAGGAAGGTATACTCTTACCATCAACAGCGAAGAAAATTTCTCAGTCGGAGAATGTTCGGACGAGATCCTTCCGATCGGTTGAGGAGCGTGAAGATTATATTCGTATGATGGTGTGCAAATGCGAGGGACTTTACACATTCTACAAGCTGTGGATTGCAGCGAGAATCCTCGATGTCACCAAGGAAGAAATGAAGCTCCTGGTCAAGGACCGAGTGCACCCGGTGGGTGATATTATTTTCAGATGTTTTGCACTGGCTTTCAACTGTAAGTATATATCATTCGTGAGGGATGGCCTGAACCTTGGCAAGAATGGTTACACGGTCAACGTGAGCGCCATCATCTCGGCCATCGACCCGAACAAGTGCGACACACCCCTGCTGGATTGGTGCCTTCGGAAAGGGCACTGGTTGCCAGAGGATCACAACAAGAAGTGTGTCCGGGCACGAGAAGCCCAGAAGAACTTGGACGAGGAGTTCCGTCGACGTACCCATAGACTGTCCATTGGGGACAGGTATGCTTCGTGAAGATGCTGATTGCGGTACGATGTGGGTCAGTCCCCATCTGTTACTTGCGTCACATCGACACTATTGCGGTGGAACGACTTTATGTCATGATTTATATTCATGTGTCCAAGATGACTGGATGTGTACAGGGTTACATATTCCGATGACTATGACGCTCTGGATATTCATGGATGGAACTATTACCTTATAGATGATATCTTTTCATTATTTATGCATTGTCCATGGTATCTGGAATGGCTATGATTTGCATTGATTACTCACCGATGTTTCTTTGCCGGAGATATGCAGACCGATCACGAAGCAGGCGCCTCTGGTGGACTTTTGTGGCCAACCCATTTATGGATGACAGCTGCGCGATGCGCAAATGCGGCAGCTGGATTGTTCGTTGGCGGTCAAATGACGTGACGATTGTGTATTGTATACACCTGCATATGGAAGTGTGCTTCGATTGGTGGATGAATGTTTCACTTTTCGTACAATCGAACCCGGCATGTTTCACAACGAATGAACGGTGTAGTGATAGCAAGTAAAAGAATGCACGACACGATTTCGTAGTTGAAGCCGTGGCCAGTGGAACGTTTTGTGGTGTTTGGACCGCATGATGAACAATGCGACCCAAATGGGGGATGTTAAAACCCTCTAGGCCCCGTGCCGAAATTGGGTAGCTGTTCTGAGGTCCTTGTTGGTGTTGCTTCCCAAGTTCCATTGATCGCCATTTGGCTCAAGACACAATTGAGGTTCAAGATCTGATGTGTGACTGTATACATACGTGATCGGCATTGAGAGCGGAAAACACTTCGCTTGCGCTGCATTTGTCAGGACCACTGTTGTAACTATCATTCCTTCTCCCTTACAACGTTTACACGGGTTCGGCTATAACGGCATCGTCCGTATACACCTTTCTACGTGGTTGGTATTACAGCTTGAGGGTTCGGTGCATAGCGTCCCACGGGACGTCACCTTGCCGTCTCTTGACAGAATCCGTGATTCTTCAGAGATGGACCATGCCTACAAGGTGTGCCAACCAGTCTCCTCGTAACCAAACTGTGAGGTTGTGCCATCAAAAGCCGGGGGAATCTTTGGTGTGATTGTGGATTGGTTGAAAGCTGGCTGCTGAGCTACCGAGTGGCTCGCCACCAGTGCGGGTTCTGAGATCTCATCATCATCATCACCATAAGAATACCAGTCGCTTCTGCAATCGAAAAAGCCAACTCGGGCCCCGCTACCACTTTGTAGCGCAAATAGGGCTCAAAGATCCAGATATACTCCCAAGCTGTCAGTGTGACAAGGTGCGGAGGCTCTGCCTTCTGTTTTCTGGCGCGCAGCGAATCTCTGTGGGGTCATGGGCCAAGCCGTTGCAGAATGCATCAAGCAGATATGTCATGCTTAGGCATTCATAGGCATTCACACGCAGTCAAAGGTATTATACAAGAATTCCTACATCGCTGTAAGGGTCAATCATGTACAATTCAGGTGACAGGGGGGGGGGGGGTACGGAAATGTCCGCGCCTTTTGGCTGGACATTTCCAAGGGCATTTCCGCGTGCAACGTGCATCTGAGGGGGGGAGGCGGAACTAGCAAGTCTCCGCGTCAGTGTTCTCTTGCGCCCGACGTGCCTCGGCCAAGTGGCCGAGCCGCAGCTTTGAATTCAACCCTTTACCTGGGTTTCGGCTGCGAAAGTTGCGCTACATGCCCTGTTGTTCCGTGTTCTTGGCCATTTGGCTTCCCGTCAGCTCCTGCCAAGTGGTAGGTGCGCTCACGTGCGCCTCCTCAGCACTGTGGTAAGTTCATCACATGGTAAGCGCGCCCGCTCAAGCACGCCCGCTCAGCGCTGCACACTTTGGCTTTGGCTGAAATGAAACGTTTTGCGAGAAGGAACGCGCAGGTCGGACACGGTCGCGGGGGGCTAGTTTCCAAGCTCAATTGCGCTAAACGCACGAGCCTCTACAGATCGTGTAGCCTTTTTGTTCATTCCTTTTTCCCTGTCCGATTTGTCCGATTTCACTTTAATTCCGTGTTTCGGGAACTGAGGAGTGCTCGCGGCGGAGCCTATGCGAGGGTTCCGATCGGGCTGATGCTGTCGAGCGCCTTTTGCGCAGCCTTTGCCAGGAGTTTAGGGGCGAGACATGTGAGACTGATTTTCTTCGCGGCGCAGCTCAGAAGTTCCAAGTTTGAAGATACGGTTCCAATCTCGTCGCATGTCGCTGTGAGGCGACGCTCATTTTCTGTTTCTTTTGCGGCGCGTTGTGTCGCTCTGAGGAGACATTTTATCTTGTTTTTGCGGCGCGTCGCGTTTTGCTGCAAGGGGGCGTTCATTTGAAGTTGCGGCGCGTCGGGTTCCACGTAATGTTGCTCTTACGGCGCGTTGAGTTTTGCTAGAGGGGGCTTTCATTTCATGCGATGAGCCCCCAACGCGGCGCGTCGCGTTGCCGCGAGGGGACTTTGATTTAAGGTTGCTCGTGCGGCTGCGTTTTGCTGCGAGGGGGCGTTCGTTTAAGTTGATTTTGCTGCTTTTCACGTTTCGCTACGAGGGGCTCGCTGTGAGGGGACTTTCTGATTTTGCTCGCACCGCGTTTTGCTGTCGCTGCCTGTGCGGCTTGGTGGTGACCTCAATGCGTGCTGTCCAGTCGCGACTGCCAAAAGAACGTGCGAGCCCGCAACTATATTGAGAACCGTAAAGGCGTATTGCGCGATTCTCGTCCACCCTTGGAAAGTCTAAGAATATATTCGCAGTTGATTGCTTTCATGTAGGGGCCTCTAACGAAGCCTCGTGAAAGCTAACATGAAGGGCGCGAAAGCCTGTGAAAGCTTGCGGCGAAAGTGGTTGAAGAGCCTGCCGCAAAAGCGTCGCGGAAGTGCATTGCAGTTTCTGTGTTGCCCGTGGAAGCTCCGCGAAAGTGATCATTACAAAACACATGCCCGCGAAAGTGAAACTTGTGGCCTTCCACGAAAGCAGTTTGTTAGTAAAGGGTTTTATGTACCCTATTTTCAGCACCGCTCTGTTTCCGGAGAGGCAGGAAGCGAGTAGCCCTTCGAGTTGGTCATAGGCTGTTGGCAGAGGAGGCTTTGCGCATGCGTGTTCGCAGGTGCATGCCCTGCGTGTGTTCGAGCGTGTGTGCTGACGGGCGTTCCGATGTGTGCGCGCATGTTTGTTTCGAGAGTGTACGTATATTTGTCTTCGAACAGTTGAGAAACTCAGAATACCGCGTTGCATCGTTCGGTTTCGAATTCCTCTTCTCTGGGGTCGATGGTTTTGGACGAATTTCATTTGACTCCTTCAACAAAACATATTCCCCGCAGTTGGTTTTCCGTTGTCCTTGAGGCCTGGAAGAATATCGCTAATATGCCAGCTTGAGTCCTGGATTTGAATTTTCAGTCGTCACCCCTCGTAGGAGCTCTACAAGTTGGCGGGGTTGGAGCTGCAGGCTCTACATGCGGTTTCGACCCGCAAAGCAGGAACTTGGCTGTGCAGGAACTTGGCCTCAAAGCTGCTGCGCTGGTTCTCCGGCGGTGGGAAGTTTTGGATCAGGCGAGGGCGGGCCGGCGCGCCGGCGCGCCGGCGCGCCCGCTTGAAGTGTTTGCTTCCTTCTGGTGTTTGCTGCTTGCTTGCTTGCTTGCGCGGCCAAGTTGCCCAACGCAGCGGTGGAGTCCGAGTACGCTGCCTTGGACTTGCCTGACGCGCAGCCAGGCCAGAGCCAGCCGAATGAGTTCGTTTCGCGCATGTTTTGCGTATCTTTCCCGGGCCACAGTTCAAAATTGTCCTTGCTTCAGAAGCTAGCCAATGTGGAGTACCCTACAAAGTGGGCAGCCATCCCCAAGCAGAACCATGACCGCCCGAATGCGATGGGGCGGTTGAGCAACTTCCACTTGACCCAGCAAATGCCTGCCCTACGCCCGTTTTTTTTTTTCCTCCTCCTCCGGCAGAGCAGACTTATCCTAGGGCCAGGGAAAGAGTTGGACGGAGAACCCAAGTCGGGGGACAAGTAAGACCGGCGTGAAGTGCACTGAGGCGAGCAGCGAGCGCGCTTGAAGAAAATTGCACATTGGAAGGCGCACCCATAGTGGAAAGGCCAGGCGCATGTGAGTTCAGTGCGAGGCGTTGCCGTTGCCGACGCTCCGGGATCATTGCTGGAAGATGGGAATGCGCTCGGCGTATTTCAACTCTATAGATTCAGGAGATGGGAGAGTTCTAGGGCTCGGCTCGGCCTGACAGTTGGTGACTCGAGGATCGGAGAAGCTTGTCCGACAAGTGGCTTGGTTCCAGCAACCTGGCCTAGAAGAGAGTTACGCCGGCTGATTTTTGGAAAAAGTTTGAGGTGGGCTGGAAAAACTCCGGAGCCCAAGCCTGAGGAGAGACGTTCAGAGACGCTCGTTGCTTCATTTGACACCTGTTTCGAGTTCTGTTCGACTCATTCTCCAGGATGGCAGGCCAAACTTCCCATGTGACTATTCGGCCCCAGCTAGATCTGGACCATCCCTTCCAGCGCACATTGTGCGCTGCTTGCAAAGCTTGCCCCTCGCAAAGTCTAAAATGAAGACTGCTTTGGATTGCAACTTGTGGTGGGTTGGCAATTGGCATGAGGACCATGAATAGGGTTTGTCATCGCAGAATGTGTGTGTGTGTGTGGCATTGATTTACTTTGGCCCGTACGCTCCCGTTGCCTAAGGCTGCTGCCAGTTGATGCCACCATGGCCGATATCAAGAAGTCCTACAGACAGTTGGCGTTGAAGTACCACCCAGACAAGAGCGGCAAAGTTTCGCAGCCCGGCTGAATCTGGGCGAGGGTGCGTGTTCAACTCCGCCCGCGAGGCAGTTCATGGAAATTCGCGCGGCGTATGACGAGCTCATGTGCTTCTTCGGCTGAGAGAGCCGAAGCAACGAAACTGCGAGCTCGGGGAGATGAAGGACATTCCATGAGACCAAGATGCGGAAGATGCGCCAAAACGAGATGGAATGGGCATGTGCCCGCAAGGTAGGTGCGTGTCCACAAGGTGCCCACAAGGTGCCCACAAGGTGCGCAAAAGCGCTCGTGATGGCTGCAAATAGCTGTGCGGAAGGTGCCCACTGCAAGTCGGAACGGGCATATGTGCTGCAGGCATTGCGCGCATTGTTTGCATCTAGGTTTTTTGCTCAAATCAGGCCTCCGTCAAAAGACGGTCCATAACTCCATACCGACCTCGGCGTCGCCATGACTGCACGGGTGTTGCTCCTTGCTAGCCTTTTTTTGCCAACGCAAGGAGCCGCCGTCAGGGCAGCGTCCGCCGAGGACATTCAGGCCTACGAGGCTTTTCGGAGCCAGTTCGGGCGTCAAGATGCCAGGGACTACCAGCAAAGGCTTGTTTTTTTCATGCAGCGGCGAGCGGAGGTGGATGCGCAAAATGCCAAGGGCACGTGGCGGGCAAAGGTGAACAAGTTTGCGGACATGACAGACCTCGAGTACCAGGAGCTGCTGGGCTACCGGAAGCCCAGGAGAAGCCCGCTGATGAGATCCGGGACCTCCCTGCTGCAGCTGGGGTCCGGCGGCTTTGGCGGCGTGGCGCGGAGCCGGGACTGGCGGAAAGCGTTGGCCTCGGGCGGCCCCGAGTTTCTGCGAACGCAGGGGGGCTGTGGGTCTTGCTGGGCAGTGGCCGCCGCCGGCGCTCTGGAGATGCACGCGGAGATTGCGGAGGCAGACGCGCCTTCGCACAACGCATCCGAGGCGCCCGCGGCGCCCGCGGCGGCGCGGCGGCTGAGCGTGGGGCAGGTGCTGCGGTGCACGCCGAACCCACGGCACTGCGGCGGCGAGGGCGGGTGCAGCGGTGCCACGGCGGAGCTTGCCTTCGCCTTTGTGGCTCGCTATGGGGTCGTTGCCGAGGCCGATTGGGAGCCGGACGGAGACGACAGCGGAGACCACCGCGAAATCGAAGTGAAGGACGGGAGTGAGAAGGGGAACTGAGGGAGAAAAGGGGAAGAAAGGAGAAGAAAGGGGAAGAAAGGAGAGCGAGAAAGCGAAACGTTCGGCGTCGAGAGGACGAGATGTCCGGGTTGCGTGGGCGCTGCGCAGCTCGGCCGGCGCTCCGCACCACGGGCTTCGCAGCTCGGAAAGATCCTTTTGAATGTCCGACTGGCACAGAAAATGAATCGAAAATCGAAGATCGAAGACCCAAGGTCAAACTGCCACAGAATCAGCTTTGGCCGCTGCCGGGCGCACAGCTCATGTGTTGAGAATCCTATGCGTTCCTGAACGCATTGCATGTGGCGATAAATGTGAAAAGGCATTTGCCTTTCGCTGGCGAGTGCGTTGGGCAGGGCCATGCAACACTTCATTGCACCCGGCCTTTTGTGCTCATGTTTGAGGCTTGCAGCCGTCTCCGAGAAAGGTCCCGTGGTGGTGTCTGTGGATGCTGAGCCATGGACTATATATGATTCAGGGGTCGCTCGTCAGAGAGCTTCGGCTCCGAGTGGATGCATGCCGGAAATGTTTCTTTATGTGTTTGTGCGCGCGCTCCTTGAGGTCTTCAACGGTTGCAAGAAACTTGTCTGCGCGTGATAGCTGGTTTTGCAAATCCAGGTGTTGCTCTTGTTGCCTGAAGGCAAGATGCGACTATCAACCATGCGGTTCTCTTAGTCGGCTATGGTGGCTGCCTTACGCGCGCATGCTTGAGTTCCCCGCAAGTTCCGTGCAGTGCTTGGGAGTTCCATGCAGTTGCTTGAGTGTTCGAAAGGTGAGTGCACGGAAGGGAAGTATTGGCTGATCCGGAATTCGTGGGGCAACGACTGGGGCGAGAACGGCTACATGCGGCTCCTGCGGCATGATGGCGACGAGGGTGCTGGCCTCATGCCAAGACTGGGTGGGAGACCCTCGCAGGCGCTCGGTGCTCAGCAAGCTATCGCTCGCAAGGTCACAATGGCTATTGTGGCACTGACCGTGACCCGAAGGCGGGTGCGCCAGGCGTCAAATTGCATCGCGGCTCGGCCCAGGTGGGGGTGGGCTGTGACGGCGGCCCGGCGACATTACCAGTGTGCGGCATGTGCCGCGGCCCAAGGACTGCAAGGACTGCAAGGACTGCAAGGACTTGGCAGTTTGCAAGACTCAGGCGGCATCCTCTCAGACTCTAGCTACCCGAAGCTCTGAGTCTGGAAAATCAAATGTGCGGACATGTGCGCCTCACTGGGCACCCGTGCACGTTGCATTGCCCTTACGCGGCGTTTCTCCTTTAACTTTAAGGGGCGGTATTTGACACACGGCATTTTGAGGTCGAACATCCTTTGCTGTTTCTTGGTTTCTCTCCGTTAGTCTTCCGCGTTCGATGTCCCTCTTCGATTCTTTCTCACTTCATTCCCACCTTCGGACCTCATTCGGACCTCATTCGGACCTCATTCGGACTTCAATGGCGTCCGTGGAGGGCACCCGTCGCTTCGTGCAGCGCCTGGTGGCGAGTGGCCGGCTGCACCCGGCGTGGAGCAGCCCGGGCCGCCGGCTGGGGCCGCTGCACTGCACGCCCCTGGGCTTCGGCGCCTACCGCCTAGGCCCGCATGGGCCAATGCCGGACAGGAACGGAAGAAAGGAAGAAGGCAAGAAGGCTTTGAAACGGGAAGGGTGGAAGGGTGGAAGGGTGGAAGAAGGGTGGAAGGGTGGAAGGGTGGAAGGGTGGAAGGGAAGAGAGAGATTCGGGATGTTAAATTGGCTAGAAACGCGAGAGCCAATAGCAGGGCAGCAGCTTGACAAAGAGAGTGAGTCTGCAAAGAACTTAAAGGGAGAACATGTGCCCCCCAACAAGAGCCGGCCCACGCCTGAAAACCCAAAAAGGCGCAAGGCTGGAACGCGCGATTGCCTGCCTGAAGCGAATCGATTAGCTTCAGGTTTCGGATTCTTGTCGAACTGGCCAAAGAAGTCTTGCCACGAAAAGGCAAGGGGCCCAAATTTCTGGACTCATTGCGTTTGGGGTTTCATTTGCGCTAGGAGCGCGAGGCTTCTTCGGGTGATTCACTTGTTTAGTTGTGCATTTACATGCCGATTTGTATTTGGATTTGTTGAGCGGACATGTGAATTCATACACGCGTATGTAGATATATGAATTTGTGCACGTTTGCACACACATGCACATGTACCTCGTGTGCGTATGTATGAATGAAATGAAATGAAATGAACTGAAATGAACTGAAATGAATTGAACATGAATGTGAACATGAAAATGAAAATGAAAATGAATGAATGAATGAATGAATGAGTGAATGAAGTGAAGTGAAGTGAAGTGAAGTGAAGTGAAGTGAAGTGAAATGAAATGAAAGGAATGGAATGAAAGGAATGGAATGACATGACATGACATGACATGACATGAATTGAATTGAAATTAATGAATGAATGCATGAATGAATGAATGAATGCATGAATGAATGAATTAATGAGTGAAATGAAATGAAATGAAATGGAATGAAATGGAATGAAATGAAATTACATGACATGACATGAATTGAAACTGTTAAAGTGGAACTAACTGTGTAATGACCTGATGACCTAAATGTGTCAAACCTGTGATGTGACAGCTCGGCACTTGTTGTCCTGATGGGCGAGGGCTGAGCTCCTATGATGCACACAGGCTCAAGGCCTTGGTAGTACAAGCAGCATTCCAGAGGCATTGGGAGATGCATGTATCTTAACACGCCTCCTCAGGATAATATATCTCATGTACATTCTCCTGAACTGTTGAAAAAGATGATGTGGCTGCTGTACACAGAGTGTGTACTAGGCTGTGCAAATCCCTTGTGGTTCGTGGTGTCAAATTCGAGTGTCAAGCAGCTGCTGTTTCAAACAGATGTTGTACCAAGCTATTCGACTGTGCCACTCAAGCAAAACTGCTGTTGTATGAACCATGATGTTCACGCATTCCTCGGCCTCTTCGCAGTTGTTGTTGTAACTGCATCCATGGTTGTAGCCTGCATGATGAGCTCTTCCCTGTACTTGTTCATCGTGTTGATGTACTCCGTGTAGAACTCCTGATTCTGCATGTAGCACCAGGTGTGATGATCCTGATATCATGGCCGCATGGATTGTATCATCATCTGCTGCAAACTGTAGGTCGTTCAGGTTGATGATGGCGTTGTTTTCCAAGCTCCCAGATGTGTACCGACTGCTGTTCGAACTCATCGAACTGCCACTTCTTGTTGTAGTGGTGCCGTAGGTGGAGGATCTGATTGAATGTACTCATCTGTCCCTTGCTGAGCCTGGCAATCATGTGCATGATCTTCGGCTGGAAGCCGGTGATGTACAGCTTGTCCAGCTGCGCGGATGCGATCTTGCGTTCGCTGAAGAGGTAAAGAAATGTTGTAAGGGAGTCAAACGGACAGGTGTTGTAGATCATGTGCTCCCAAAGCGGCTTCCTCATGTTGGCCTGAAGCCCTGTGTAGTCGCCTCCCAAATTGATGTACTCCTCGGCTGTCATGGCGAAGTACAAGACGTTGTTTGTGTCTGCAGTCTTGCTGATGTGCCAGTCCATGAGGTTGTGCGCCTCCTTACCGTTGACGCGTCTGATGTTGTAAAATCCAATTGATTTACGCGATGTAACCAACTGCGTGTCGAAACGCTTTCTGGCGTGTTCATCCGATGTAATGTGGTGTGGCCTCACAGGCCAACGTTGCACAGGTGTTTGTTGAGCGTGTTGCTGCCAACAAACTTGGTAAGAATGTCGGCTGTGTTGTCTTCTGACTTTACCTTGTGCATGGTGATGATTTTGCTCTTGACAAGTTGTTGTGTGAAGAGGTGTCGCAGGCCAATGTGCTTTTCTTTCTTTGATGTACCTTCTCTCATTGCTATTGATGTTGCTGCGCTGCTTGCTGTCTGTGTGTATCCCGATGTTGGTGCGTACTTCAAATGCTTCCTTGATGAAGTTGCTGATGTAGAGGCTCTCTTGTGCTGCTGTACCAATCGCGTACAGCTCTGATTCTGCTGATGAAAGTGCTATTGTTGCTTGTGTTCTGCTGCCATAATGTACTGCTGCTCCAAAGAAGTACAGTACAAATCCTGTTGTGCTTTTCCTTGTTGTCTCACACGATGCCCATTTGGCATCTGTGTATGTGTCAATGTTGAGTGGAATTCGTTTGTCCTGTGTTTGTATCTTGGGTCGCGCGTACCTTGTTCCTTTAAGGTACCTGATCATGTGCTTGAGCTTCTTGTTGTCAAGTTGTGTTGGTGCCTGTAGTGATCTTGCTAGCTCCTTTGCTCCATAGCTGATGTCTGGTTTTGTGTATGCTAGCCGTTGTATTTTGCCAACAAGCCGTCTGTGTTTCTTGTGTTGTTCTTGGTCTAGTGAGGATGTGTGCTATGTGGTCTTGCCATTGTTTTGGTGATGATCGTAGCTTTGTTCAGCCGCCACATTATGTGTCTGTTGTCATCATTGTAGAGCTCATGCGCGTACCAGGTTGTAGGAGATTGCTTCTGCATGTAGAAATGCAACACTTACATCTCCTGTGCTGACTGACCAGTTGCACAGCCATTGTGAGGAGTATCCTCAGTATGCAAAACAATGGTGTACTTGCAAACAAGAGATCGTGGTCTGTAACAGGTTCTGTGTAGCCCTTTGCTACTATGCGTGCTCGCACTTGATTGTGTTTCTTTTTGAGAACCAATCTAGACTCGATAATGTTTGCTTGTTGCTCTGGTGTCAATGCGTTGCCATCAATCTCTGTAAAGACTGATTGATTTTTTCACTTGTTGTACTTCCTTCTTCATTCCTTGTGCTACCTGTTGTGGATCCAAGTCTTCTGTGTCATGTAGAATTGGTTCTAGTAGAATCCTTTCATTGTTGATTTCTTCTGCATCTTCATTGGATGTTGTCTGCATTTGTTTACCATCATTTGTTGTGAACTCGGTGGCATTTATTCTCATTTTGCTCTTTGGCTGTTCTGGTGTTGTGGGTCGCTCAAGTGCTTGTCTTTCTGTTGTGGTGCGCTGTTGCTTGCCTGTACTGCCTTCTGCTATCGTGTCATCTCTTTCTCTTGTGGGTGATGTAGGCGGTGGTGCTGGCAGTGCTGGTCGCTCCTGGTGTGTTGGTGATGTAGCCATAGGTGATGTTGGCTCTGTTGTTCTTTTCTGCTTTGTTGGCTGATCTCCTGCTTCTGTTGCGCTCTGTCTCTTGCCTTCTGCTGCTGTGCTAGTTGTTGCAGCTTTCTGTGATGGAGGTGCCTTGCTTGTAGCTGGCATTGTCAATGGTGTTGCGAGAGTTGGTGTGTGCAGTGCTGATCCAGGTGTCTTCCATGGACCTGTGTGTACACAGTCCAGTAGTTGCCGATTGTATTTGTGAGGCATAATCTGTTTTCTGATTGTCCTTGCTCTGACAATCTTGTTGTAGATCCCAAAAAGGGATTCGCCTGTGGTTGCATCCTTGCCAAGAATCTCGGCTCGAGTTTTGGAAATTGTTTCACTGTTGGTAGCATGTGTTGCACTGTCTCACCAAACTCGCCAAGTGGTGTATGTTGCTCTCTGTTCCATTTGTTGAAGTAGCTTGCGCATCCACTGCTGTGAGCTGCATACCTGTTCATGATGTATGCGCTGTGTCGAACTATCCAAGGCATGAGTGGATGTTTCATTGAAATTCTTGTTAGCCACTGCTGTTGTGAGCGCTGTCAGGAAGTCTTCCTGACCTGATTGTAGTATCGTGTGTGTGTTGCCCTTCCACATTCAATGAGGAAGTGATGTAGCTGTGTGACTGCATAGTCAAAAAGCATTCTCTTGTCTGTCAGTTGTAGTGCCACCGTTTTGTATTGAACTTTCGGGAGAAGCGTTGTGGAAAACATAGATGTTGCTTTTGAAATTAAATGCCTGAAGCAAAGCACAAAGGATAGGATTTGAAAAAGAACAGGCCTCCACAACGTCCTCTTCTAAAAAGCAGAGCCAACCGGACAAGCACATAGATTATTTTGTTTAGAGTAGATGTCGCTAACAGCAGCGGACATGAAATATTCTAACCAGCTCGCAATAGCCAAGATGGTTTGGTCAGAATGTTCCAACTCATTGATTCTGACTTTTTCTAACTGTATCATGTTGAACAACACGTGCAGAATCATTTCTCCAAACAACAGTCTATCTGCTAGCCCGTTGCTATGCACTTTTGTTTGGTAGGTGCGGATGGTTTGCCAAGCTTGAAGTTGGCCGCAGAGCTGGTGAACGTGTTCGACACCTCGAGCCACTACGAGAACGAATCTTTCCTCGGGCCGGTCCTCGGTGAAAGCTCTCTCCGGGAAGAATTCATCCTATGCACCAAAGTCGGCCATGTGAGGGGGGAACCTCCGAAAGGCGCGGTCCCAATCAAGGGTGACGACTGGCACTGCATCGAGCCCTCATTTGTGGAAGCCGAAGTCAGGGCGTGCAAAGAAAGACTCAGAACCGTGCCCGACATCGTGTTCCTGCACAATCCCGAGTACATGCTATCAGCTCGCCTGAAGCAACAGGTTCCGATCGCAGATGCCTGGGACGAGATGTACCAAGCGCTGTTTCAAGCTTTCAAGGCTCTCGAAACCCTATGCGCCTTTGCTGATTCAGTGTTGCGTTGTCCACAAAAACTTTGTTCTGAGTGGCATGGTTCTTGCAAGCTGCGATCGGGAGGGCCAATAGTCATAACGCGTGAAGGCAACGTGCATCAAAGCCGAGGCAGCGAAGGTAGTATATCCTCTGGCTACGGTGTGAGCAGCAATTTTCTTTCCTGCTCGTTCTCCGTCACAGGGCGGCCAAATCTGCTTCTTGTCTTTCGTGGCTTTTGTGACTTCAGCATGACTTTGTGCATGTTGCCCGAGGTACGAGTCCTTGGTTCTGGATCGGGTCCTTGATGCTGCATCAGCGGCTGCCGGCTCCATGGCCACAGTTTCCAACATTGCGCGCTGTTAGTGTGTTGAGTGCTTAGTTGTGCGTGTGCTCCACGCGCGTGGAGTCTTTTTTTGAGGCGCGCAGGGCTTGAGCCAACATCGCTTTCAAGTGGCTCAGCTTCCGCTGAACTTGTTCGAGAGTGGAGCTGTCCTTGGGCGAGGCTAGCCAACCTTTGCCTTGCACCTGGTAGGTTTCATTTTTGGCGACTTTGGGTTTGTTTCAGTCATTACGATTCACACAACATGCTAAATTTCAATCGTGCAACCAGCATAGCGCATCCGTTGAGGCGCCCAGATGGAGGGGGACTGTTTCATGGCTGAGCGCTTGGGGGTCTCGCTGCTCACAAACCGGCCATTGAATGCCTTGCCCATGCCAGGACATCCGGCCCTTGCTTGGCATTGCTTGGCATTGCTTGGCATGACTGCGTGACTGCGTGTCTGCGTGACTGCGTGACTGCGTGACATGCGCGTTCTTGCTGCATACTGCTGCGCTTGTCTTATTCTGCTTTTTCTCGCTTTGCTTTGCGTGCTTTGAAAGTTTGTGTTTGGCGCGCCCATGGTCAAACGCCATGTGCGCTGTTGCTCGCAGGTGTGAGCGCAGGTGATTGGGGCCGCTCTGCTTCCCACTTGCAGATACGTGAGGCGGGCCTTGGGCATGCCATGCTGTAAAATTCAAGAGAACGAATGCATTGCAATGCGTTTTCACCCATATCATTGGATATCAAGGTCAGACCATGTATGTCACGACGCAACGCGCATGCGTGAACCATGAGAGAGTGTTGCGGGCCTTGAACATGCCGTGCTGTAGAGTTCAAGAGAACGAATGCATTGCAATGCGTTTTCACCCATATCATTGGATATCAAGATCATACTGCGTATGTCACGACGCAACGCGCGTGCGTGAACCATGAGAGAGTTTTGCGGGCCTTGAACATGCCGTGCTGCAGAGTTCAAGAGAACGAATGCATTGCAATGCGCTTTCACCCGTATCATTGGATATCAAGGTCATATCAAGTATGTCACGACGCAACGCGCATGCGTGAACCATGAGAGAGTTTTGCGGGCCTTGAACATGCCGTGCTGTAGAGTTCAAGAGAACGAATGCATTGCAATGCGTTTTCACCCACATCATTGGATATCAAGGTCATGTCACGTATGTCACGACGCAACGTGCATGCGTGAACCATGAGAGAGTTTTGCGGGCCTTGAACATGCCGTGCTGCAGAGTTCAAGAGAACGAATGCATTGCAACGCGTTTTCACCCATATCATTATATCAAGGTCATATCACGTATGTCACGACGCAACGCGCGTGCGTGAACCATGAGAGAGTTTTGCGGGCCTTGAACATGCCGTGCTGTACAGTTCAAGAGAACGAATGCTTTGCAATGCGTTTTCACCCATATTATTGGATATCAAGGTCATATCAGGCATGTCACGACGCAACGCGCGTGCGTGAACCATGAGAGAGTTTTGCGGGCCTTGAGCATGCCGTGCTGTAGAGTGCAAGAGAACGATTGCATTGTAATGCGTTTTCACCGATATCACTGGATGTCAAGGTCATATCACGTATGTCATGACGCAACGCGCATGCGTGAACCATGAGAGAGTTTTGCGGGCCTTGAAAAAGCCGTTCTGTAAAGTGCAAGAGAACGAATGCATTGCAATGCGTCTCGCCCGTATCACTGGATATCAAGGTCATATCACGTATGTCACGACGCAACGCGCATGCGTGAACCATGAGAGAGTTTTGCGGGCCTTGAACATGCCGTGCTGTAGAGTTCAAGAGAACGAATGCATTGCCATGCGTTTTCACCCATATCATTGGATATCAAGGTCATATCGCGTATGTCACGACGCAACGCGCGTGCGTGAACCATGAGAGAGTTTTGCGGCCAGGCCAAGCCCATGGGCGCCGTGCCTTCGCTGCTGAAGCGGGTTCTGAAAGAGGTCCTGGGCGAGGCTGCTTCGCAGCTTAAACATCAAGAGCTTCTTTCGTTTCGAAGTAAAAGAGCCCCGTTTCCAATTATTCTTCTTTCAATATTTTTCGAAATTCAGGTTTACTTTTTCCAGAAAGGGGCCGCTCCAGCAACTTGCTCTGCGCGTGGCGGCGTCGGCGCCGGTAGCCTGCGCTCTAAATGGTGCGCGCCGCCCGGCCTATGTGGAGGACTTCGGATCCGTCGAACCCGAACTCGACTCTTTCTTTCTCCTTCGCTTTGCTTTCGTCTTCTTTTCCTCTTTTCTTTTGCTTTTGCCTTAGGATTTGCAGGCGGTGTTGCAGGCAGAGCCCTTGACGCAGCGCGAGCCTTAATCCCAGCCGAAGCCCACCTGAAAACGGCCGAAACCGAGTCTAAGCCCACAACTGAAGAGTTTAAATCGCGAAAAACTCACCCCGCTCAAGAATCAAGATATGAAACATCAGGCATTGTTCCACTCAGTTCATGTCTGTATTTATCCATTAGACTGCGTGAACCTATCATGCCAGTTCGTATGACTGAGACAGTTCAACGTCCCTCAAGATATCGCTCCAAACATGTATCATAATTTTAGACATGTGCAGCACACCACTTGCAACGTGTCACTTAAAGCGTGAATGGCCGTACATATGCCAGGCTAGCTCTATTCCCTTTACAACTCACATACTAATTCAATCGCAAGTTGCCCTTCAGTGCCAGACGCGTGCTGGCTGACTGTTTAGGTTGCATTCGCCATAGCTAAATGGCAGCTGTGTTTTGTTCACGTGTTGTGCAGTCTCCAGGCATTCGGCCATATGGCCGTTTGGCCCAAGTTTTGAATTCTCCCGTCGAACTCTTTGGGTCCTTGTGCGGACGCCATATTCCGGCATCGGGCCTTGTCACTGCAAGAGTGCTTGCTGTGGCACGGCTCCTTGGGGATAGGGGGTCGTGGTGTTCTCGGCCCCAATCTTCAAAGCTGCTTCCTTTTGCAACTTGTTTTCCTTTTAACCTCCAAACAACTTACTTGCTACACCTGTCACGTCCTTCAACCTCCCATGAGTTGTGTTGCCGGGTGCTGTGTACCACTTTGTGCTCCTTTCCTTCTGGGCTACGGCCTGTTCGCCCAAATCCTCAGGTTATCAGCCGTAACAGTGGCTGGTGACCCGGTTGCGGGTCGTGACCCGCTACCTGCTCTTCATTGCCTTCGTGTAGGAGCAGTGGCTTCTCCTGGAGCCTCACATCGTGGGCTCGGCTTCGTGGACAACGTGGCCAACGCCTGCGCGCGCCCAGCGGCCCTGGCCAAACAAGCCGGTTATGGCCGCTCGCGATGGGCGATCACGAGCGACTGGATCCTCTCCCAGGTCGTGTTTGACGAGGAAGCGGAGGCCCTATCCCGGCGGCGGTGACCCCCTAAAAGAAGAGGTTGTGTCCCTCCGAACCAGGAGCTCCCGTCGATCTCGCCTACCCTTCACGGCCTTACGATTGGAGGAACAGATTGGTCGTCCGGCAGTGCCCAGGAGCTGCTCATTCGTGGTCCCTTACATGGGATCAGTTTGACCAGTTCCTTGGAGTTGGAGTGGTGTGCTGGTCCATCCCGCTCCAAGTTGCCCTGGTACTAGCTTGATGAGCGTGAGGATGACCCTATTGAGGATTTTCCTCATCTCATGTTGGAGGTCCGGGCCAACGAGAATCGGGCAATCGGGCAATTGAGGATTGGCCGCAAACAGGCCGTTCTGCTTCAGGTTCATTTTCAGCCATCATTGATGTTGATCATCCTAGTCCCGCTGATGTGGATTTCATCCCGGCCGCAGTATCATCGCTCCTGTCAGGAGGAGTATTGTGACCAGCATGTTGCCTCTTCCAGCGACGCGCGCAGATTTGTTCCGCGACAATGTACAACGAGCTTCCGCACTACCGTCGGGGCTGCCGGACCTATGCCGCCTAGGGCTCGTCGCCCGTCATCGGACGGACTGGGGCACGAGAGACGGCCGGTCCCTACGTCAGGCATACACCAGGCGCGGCAATAGGGTCGCGGCTGAGGTGCTTCTTCGAAAGATCTTTGGCCCCGCCCGAACGTCCGTCCCTCCTTTATAGGTTTGGCGACGGACGTCGATCCCTACTGGTCTCTGCGAGTATCGCGAAAAGGCAAACCCTAGGAGCGGCAGATCTCGGAGACCGTGACACGGCATTGAGCGCAGCCTTCATAATCCAGCTCTGCACCGCCTGGATTGCGATCCCAATGCTGGCCATCGGGCAACAAATGACGGGCTTGCTCATAGAAGACATGCTGAAGCGCGCTAGGGTCGCTGAGAAGTCCCTCCCACTTGTCAAGAAACTTCTCGAGCTGTGGCTCACCAGATCCAGCAGCTCGCCCAAATATGAGTCGGAGTAGCTCATTCGTGCGAATAGATTGGCTCCCAACCTTGCCAGGACGGAGGTAGAGGCAGAGAATCTGGCGACTTTTGAGTCTCGTTCCTCTTTTGACCTGAGCTTCCTCAGTTAGCCTGCTAATCTTAGCAACGGTGGGCTTCGAAGTGATGCAAACCTGTTCGATCCAATCACGGAGCTCATGAGGAGCAGGCTCCTTCGGAAGCTCGGCGGTAGCACATTTGTTGGCTTCAGGCGGCAACGAGGATACAGGCGGCCGAGTCGCTTGCCCAAAGACGTGTGGAGGAAGAACGCCATCCCTGCCAGACGACGGAGGGCAGCGTGCGGAGCACAACGAGGTGCAGCACAGAGTGCGCGTGTGGAAGTTGGGTGGCATTCCAGGAACGCTGGACTTGACGTTGATGTTGCACCGCGGGCAAACCCGCTCCTCGGCAGACCGCCTGATTTCAGGGTGTCCGACTTCATCACCACTGCCAACGCCAGGTGCGTGTGCACCAAGACCAGGAAGGAAAGAGATCCCAGCCTGCCTAGCAGCACTCTGTGACGCGTTATTCGGGACATGGGAAGGAGGACGGTTAACCTCCCAGATCCATATCTTCCACGAACGATGCCCGGCTGACAATACTCCCACGTTGGCGCACATGACTGGCAGAAAGAGGGTCTGAGCGCATTGTGAGGACAAACCGAAGTTGCCACCTCGCGACTCAGGACTGCAGGGAATGGCTCAACGGTAAATGCACTTGTGCTGAGTGCACGTATAAGCATGAGAAGATTTATTGACCTTGCCCCATTTCCCGGAAAACCTGGTGCCCCTGCTACCGAGCAGGGGAGCCCGAGTCACGAAGGGCGGATTGACAGTCCTGCCCCTGGTGTTGCCCAGAAGTGATGCTTGCGTGAGGTAGTGCTGGCGCTGATGCTGAGCCCACGTTCTCCGCGCAAGAGTGGTCTAGAAACGATCAAAATGTGTGCATGTTTCAAACACTCGCCACCATCTCCGACGAGTTGTATGGAGGCGGACTGTTTCTCTCCCCGATGGACGAATCATCCAGGATTGTCACCGACCACGTTTCGGAGCCGGCTATTCTGTCCCACTGGGGCAAAAGGTGACTTCAAGACCATCTTTTGGTGGAACCTCTGGATCGTTCAGATCAATGACTCTGCCCTTGTTGAGGACCACGTACACCCGCGGTGGGGAATTCAAGAACGCCTCCAAGGTCACCATGGAACGGCAGACCGAGAAGGCTATTCTGCGTGCTCTGTCCATGCAGGAGCAGTCTCAGGAAGCTCAGGCAAATGCTGATTATTGGGTCAAAGATGAGGAAAACGAATGCGTGATCCGTATACACCGGACACCTAGGAAGAAGCTCTTTGATCCACAGGGCTCAAATTGCCCGATCGACGTCGACTTTCTCGCTGATGATGAACTATCTTAACGGCGAAAGCAAAACCCGAGATCTGTGTCCAGCGGCCACTGATCCCAGTACTCCTGCTGCTTCGGCCACCTTCTCTTCCCACTCCTGGTTGTGTACTGGGAACGATACTTGGTTCACCATTCCACGTGGGCTCGATGGACCTGGACACAATCCGTTTCTCGGCCTTCGGCCTTTCAGCGCCTGTGTTGCTTGCCCGGTACCTAGCAAAGAAGCAAAACTGAACCCGAAAGCTTTTGCCGCCCTAGAAAAGGAGTGGAAGAAGCTTCGGGACATGGGCTGCTGGGACCAGTCAAAGGTACGCGAATCGCGCTGCTGAAGCTAAACGTGATGGTGTCAAAGTGCATGTCGGCCGAATCTTCGACATTTACGTCAAAAAGAATCACGAGCTTAATGAGGACGACCCGCAGTCTGGGATAGGCACAAATCCCAGAACCCACCAGCGTCAGGATGGATGAGAGGGCAGACAGGGTCCTGCATCCCTCCATTCTGTTGGCCATTGGTCACGAGGGAGACGTATCCAATTCTTCGTACCGCCGAGCAAGGCTTGGGTATAGGCAGACTCTCCGTCGCTAACCTCAAGCGAATTACCCGGCAGTAGGCCATAGGCGTCAGCAATCTTCCCCGCCGCCATGCTTTCGACCCAAGAGCCGCTTGGACCGTGAGCCATCCGCCCTCCAAATCCATCCCGGAAATCCGGCTTTGGTCCGAGCCGCAAATCGTCCGTAGACGCGAGCAGTGGCATGACCAGGATCAATCTCATCAAGTACAATGAGTCCTGTTTCATGCAGGCATGTGTGGATCGATGCTTGGAGCTCTGCCAGCCCAAGTTTCCTAAGGCTCTCCAAACTGTCGAGACACCCTTTTTCGACGAGAGCAAACCCGTGATGAGAACCCGGTAAGCCCGGAGATCGACAAGCTCGGAAGTCAGAAGAATGACATCAGGACTATCTCTGCACGGCCTGGCGTTCTTGGTGACGCCGCCGCGCAAGTTCTGATGAGAATTATCGAGGATTCTATGGTGCTCGTATGGGTCGGTGCGACCTTACATGGCCTGTCCAGGCCTTCGCCAGTTGCATGACAAAAAGCTTCACCGGCGCGTATCATATATTAACCCCACTCTTGAACTGCATCTCTATGGGTGGGTTGGTGACCCGTCTGATATGATCAAGGTTGTCACCTACTGCGGTACCGATGCCAAGAGTCCTTGTATGCTTGGTCAGCCCTCGGACACACATGCCCATCACGCCCGTAAGCAAGAAGCAGACCTCAGTCTCGAAATCCATTTTCGAGGCTGAGATCGTTGCTCTTGATCACGGAATATCAAAGGAAGCTATGATGCTCGCGGCCCTCTGGAATTTTGCAAATGGTCGTGGCTCTTCCGAATCGATCGCTTGCAAGTACAAAATCAAATACGCCGATGCGATTCCTCACACCATCAGTGTTCTCGAGGACAATGAAGCGGCTTGTAGAATCATTGTCGCCGGCAACGATCCCAACATGAGACACATGTCCCGCACACAGCGGATCGATATCGCTTGGCTAAACG